CGTTAATCAGTTTAGGAAATAACATGGGTTCCACAGAGTTAAAAGGGAGTTTCTTTACTAGGGAGCACCCAAGAAAACCTTTAATACTCTCGTCATCTGATTTAATATTCTGCTTCCTCTGCTTGTCAAAGATAATGACTCCTTCTCCCCGGCTGAGCAGCCTTGGCCACCCCACCATGGTGCTCAGGGGCACACATTTACTTCATGGGATACTCACAGACTCAAACCAACTCCAAACCACTCTTTGGAAATGATTCTGTTCACAGATTTCTGAAACTCCAATGTGAGCCAGCTGTGGAGGCTTGGATGTGTCAAGGAGGTCACTGAAGCCCTGTCCTTTCAGACCATTAAACTGCTTCGTGTAGGGATACTGGAAATGTCAGCTCCCTCTCAAGGTGTTTAGTCCATTAATAAGAGAATCTGAGAATGGCGTTAAACAGAAGCTCAAGGACAATTCTACTAATTTTAAAGAAAACCCCTCAGAGCAGGCAAGCTGCAAGTCTCTACAGCTGCAGAGAGGAGGATGGAGACAAGGGAAAGCCATGCTGTTCGACTTACGGGCATGGGGGTCTGCCACATGGTGGGGAGGGGAGCCTCAGAGACAGATCAAGGAACTAAAAGTACCAGAAAACACAAGCTTAGGTTCTGAAACAGAGATACAGAAAAGAAAAAGGAAGACTTTTAGTCCAAACTCAGAATGATGGGTAGACCCAGCCAAACCTCATGGCTGCTGGGCTTGGGGTAGGGTGGGAGGGGTAGGGGGGTGACGAGGAGAGAGGATCCTGGGACGGAAAAGTACTGTATCTCCTTAAAGGAAAATGTCTCTGCCCATCCCTCCAGCATGGCTTAAGGTGAGCATGCCTTCCTAAGGGTGATCCCTTGGCCAGGTGATTGACCATCCCTAGGCCAGAGACTCTTGACCAGAAGCTTAATATTTGGGAGCCTCATACTTCTTATGTAAAGTTGTGTGCACTGCATGTGGTGTAGTTAAGGGCACTACAAAGCACAAAAATAAGTAAATAAATAAATAAACAAAGCATTTGAGGGATGAGAAAAACGATCATCACAGTCAGTCCTGTGGGCTTTTTTGCCTTCAGCCAGCAATGTGCTTACTGACCTGGGCCCCCACGTAGACCTGGCCGGATGGATCTGGGAATGTGAAATGGCTTCCTAGGTGGTTCTGAACGGTTAGAGTGGTGGGGAGTGTGTGTGGAGTGTCCCTGCCAGGTAAGGGAGACCTGAGGAGGTAGTTCCCTGCCTCTTCCCCGACAGCTACACAGCCTACCATCTTCTCTCTCTGAGAACCTCGGGAAGACTCCCCGAGGATGGCCCCTGCTGGTCTTGCTCTGAGGGTCTGCGTCCAGTTGCAGCTGAGCAACTCTTCGTCTGGCTCTCTGTTGGGAAATTAAGGACTGATTTAGAATAGCCTGCAGCTTGGCTTAGAGCCTTAGCATTTTATGAAACTCTTTCGAACAGGGCTAAGGTGGGTGATTCAGTTTTGTTCGGCAATTTAACGGACACATTTTCTTTTTGATGAAGATCAGTTAGATCACGAAGCTGAGATTGTCTTTTACTCCCTCAGCACCAAGGCATCAGTAGACATCTGTGTATTAGGCTGTCAAGGAAGAGTTTCAGAAAGAACGCCTTACCTCCAGTTAACTGCATAATAAACAGACCTCAGGCACAGGGTCCCACCCGGACCTCAGTGCCAAGCAGCATTTCAAATGGAGCACCCTTAGTGGGATGCAGGAGGGAGCAGTTCATGGCACGGGACCCCTCTGTCAGCTCCTGTGGATCCCCTCCATCCCTGGGTTTTAGCCTTCAGTGACTTCCGTGTGCACAGGAATAAGCTGTGCACACAGATGTTTGAACAGTTGTCAGGCTTGTCTGCAGTTCAGCCGTGTAAACGACAGCAGAGAGCCCTGGAGGGGGACGAGATGAAGACGTTAAAGCTGTGCCTGCAGGTGTTGGTGTTTTGACCCTGACAGTCAGTTTGAAATGACCTGTCAAGCACCTTTGTGCACTTCTTGGGCACACCCACCTGGAAGCTATTATGTTCCTGAGTTTCATGTGCCACAGCAGGCAGGCATCAGATCCATGGGTTTTGTTTGCACTGGCGGGGGGTTAGTATACTCAGGGCAGGGCTCTCCCGAGAGGGGCCCAGCTACAAACGCTGTTTTCATTTAATTCTGCTTTCTCCTTTCTCTGCTCCCTTCAGGCCCGTCAGCCCTTCCCGCTCCACTCCTTCTCCCGCTTGCTTCACTTCAAGCCTCTTCTTCCTGTCTTTGATGCCTCCTTGCAAAACTTCAAACAACCAGACCAAGAGTCCTTAGGCACCGCAGCACAAAACTGGACCTACACACTTTGGTCCTTGTGCCTATTCCATTAATTCTGAGTGGATGGGGGGAAAGGGGCTAAGTGGTATCTGAGGAGACCTTTTGGGCCTTGACCTGGCCTCTTCTGTGTGGCCTGTGGAGATCAGTGTTGCATCTGTCTAGACTTCAGTGTTCTGAAACTGGAGTCTCCCCTGTTACACTGGCAGCCATAACTGTGCATGCTAGGAAGCTGGGGTGAGGAGAACTCTGGGATCCGTCTTTGCACCACCAACACTTGGGTTGTTTCAGATTAATTGAGGATACAAAGTCGGACTCCAGCGGGAGCAGAACCTGCCCGGTGTCCACGTTCAGGGCCCTGGTCTGATGGTAGGAATGCTACCTGCTCAGTGTCCATGTTCAAGGGAAGGTCAGCCTGAGCTCCCCAAAGCTTACAAGCCTCCCTAGGCCATGCCAGTGTACTCCACCACCTCCCTCCAGGAGACACGAGCTGCATAATCCTTCTACCCCTCTGCCCATCAAGCAATTCTGCATTGCAGTCTTTTTTTTTTTTAATGCAGGGTCTTGTGTATCCCAGGCTGGCCTTCCACCCAACTGTGAGGCCAAGGATGACCTTTTACCCCTGATCCTTCTCCATCCACCTCCCAAGTGCTGAGGTGGTTAAGCGTGTGTCCCCATGCCTGGCCTGCCTTGGAGTCTTGTCCCATACTCCTGGGCACCAGTCCTTCCCTGAGATTTTCGAGCTGTAGTGAACCAGTCGAAGCAGCTGAGAAGTGTCCATGTAGTCGATGGGACAGTGCTGCCTGCTTCTGGGAGGAGAGGGGCTTGGAAGGCGTGGGTAAAGCCCTCCACGGGAGAAGACTGTGACACTTTCCTAAGAGGGAGACCATGGCATCTGAGTCCAAGGTCTTTGATCTTGCAGATGAGGGTTTCGTGGCAGAGACAGTGGTGCTGGGCTTCTGTCGTTGTCACCCTGAGCTATGACTGATTCCTAGGGACACTCCTCACAGACGCATCACTTAGACCCAAGTGTATGGAGAAGGAGGCAGTGGCTTAAAGCACCCCACAGCATGGAGCCCTGTTCCCTTGAGGACCCGAGGCTCTTTATTGACACCTCCACCTGGATCCACCTCTCTGAAGCTTTAAAGAGCAAACGCATTTCGCAGAGGCCGCCTCTGCTGACTGGGAGCTTTCTTGAGCCCACAGACGCCCCTTCTGTCTGCATCTGCCTCCTCTGCTCTTGGTGGATTCTCTTCCTGGCTGCTTTGAGTCCACAGAACACAGACGTGATGGGAAGGCATCTTTGTGACACAGTGAATTAGCACACGCACCCTTCCCCCATAGTGATGACTTTCTTAATTTGACACAGTTCTACCTACCCGGAGATAATGATCAGCCGAACTGCAGTTTGACTCAAAATACTGTGCTCCGCCCCGGTCCCCTGACTCTTCCAAATTTAATCTGGGTCAAGAACACAGGGCCCCATTTCCTCCCCTCTGTCATGATCACTTTATAGTGATTAAAGTTCCTTTCTAGTTTTAACCTCAACTTCTGTAAACCGAGTTTTGCAGAGTGGGATCTACAGAACCGGTCTTCTGAGCTAGGGTTCTATGGCAACTTGACCACACACCCAGGTCCCTTCCATGGCCCAGCTGTCAGAGACTCCTGCAGCTGCTTTCAAGACCAGCCCCATGGCCCTCCCCAGCGTCTGCCCTGTCACTGCCACTGTTTTCTGTCCCCCAGCAAGGCAAGTGAGCTCCAGCACGTGCTGACAGGAAGATGTGACCCGAGCCTCTCGTGTGCAGGGCAGGCAGACCCTATTGACGAGCTGGCTGTTTTGAGCTGAGAGGGTCAGGCTTCGAGGGTCAGGCTTCCAGGCCACTTGCAGGTGAGGTCAGCAGCGCAAAGGCCCAGGCAGACAAGCACGCTCTCCATCCTATACCCAGAGGGTGCACTGTGAACGGATGGAAAGAGCCCACTTTGGACAATCTAGCTCCCAACTACGCCTGCCAGCGTGAGCTGCTGCCTAACCCCTCACTCTCGGGACTCCTTCGGGGAAACAGGTTAGATTACAGATATCCCTACAGAATACAGTTCTCTGCTCCAGTAAGCACAGGGAAACCTGATAGTTTTGTCATTCAAATACTGTAAGATTGGTGGCTTATTAGGGCAAATCATCAGCCGGGTGATTCCTACTAGCTCAGAAATGTCAGCAGTTGTCTGAAATAATAGCTTTGGGGAGAAAATAGAAATAATTGCCATGCGTTAGCGCAGGAACAACAGGGAAGCCTTGCTGCAAAGAGTTACTGAATCCAGATTCCTCTCCTGATCCCAGAAGACCTTCCCAGTTCACTGAGGGTGCTGAGCATGACCACTGTGGGCACACCCTCATACTTAATATGACTAGAAAATCCCCCATAGGCATGCCCAGAGGCCCATCCCCCAGGCGACTACAGATTCTGGCAAGTTACTGTTAACACCAACCACCACATCCAGCCTCACTGAGTAAGGTGGAGAGAGAGAAGGCTCCTGATGTCAGCCTCGGGCTTGCACACAAAAGCGCACATGCTTTTCTCATGCCCTCACATGCAAGTGCGCTTAAATGCAAACATGGATATATATATACATATATTTTTTTCATGTACACCACACATACAAACATTAGTAATTAAGAAATGTTCTTTATTTTTCTGTTTAAGAGAAGTAGGTGCTATTTGTATGATTAGCCTTGTGGTTTTATTTATTTAAGGGGTACTCTGGTGTTAAGTGAATAGAACCAGCTGGGGTACCCTCAGGCTGACTTCCATTCTCAAGGGTAAGCAGGCAAGCAGGTACTCACATCCTCAGGAAAAGACCAACTGCCAATCCTGCAACATAAAGGAAAATATTCCTTAACCATGTTGAGAGAAAATGAAAGGGTTGGTTCATGCACCCATGTTCCAGCTTGTGTGCACTTGCAGGTTCACCGTGTGTGTGTGTGTGTGTGTGTGTGTGTGTGTGTGTGTGTGTCTGTCTGTCTGTCTGTCTGTCTGTCTCTCTCTCTCTCTCTCTCTCTCTCTCTCTCTCTTTCTCTCTCTCTCTCTTAGAGGGAAGATGTTGAGGAGACAGAGACTTTGATGGTTTTAACTTTTCAGACTTGAGCTGAATTCCAAGCCAGACCTAGCACAGAAAAGGAAGGCAGATGTGTCTGAGTCTGCAGGTTCACCAGGCTTGAATGGGCTCGGCTGACGCTGAGTGTCTGAAGTGATTCTGAAGGCTTGGTTGAGTATCCGTGTGCCTTCCTCTGGGTCATTGTGGACACATCACCCCAAACTCAGCTGTAGACAGCAGACAGAACCTGGACTTGCCCTACCCCATTATGGCTTCATGTGTCCAGACTAATCTAATTTCTTTAAGTGACATCAATGGTAGGCCAGCAATAGATGTGATTTATCTCAACCTTAATAAGGCATGGCATCAAAGAATAAATTCAGAAAATACTCCTCACCAGGATAGAAAATTATTTTCTTAATAGCTCTAAAGGACAGCTGCTTTTGTGGGCACAAAATTAACAAAAGCTGAAGGCCCCTGGGCTACACACACACACACACACACACACACACACACACACACACACACATGCTCCCAGGCTCAGGCACTCTGGAGGTAATTTGCTGTTAGCACCCAAAGTGTATTGATCCCACACTGGCTTGCAGATCCCTCATCTGCAGAAGAAAACAAAGAACTAGCGGGGAGAAGCTGGTCATGTGTGGAGATCACCTCCCACATGCCACACCCATGGACCCCTTTACAGATGCGGTGACCTTATTAAGGAATGTGACAGGCACACAGGATCATTTTTGGACTTGTGTTTTCAGGTGACTGATACAATGTGAAGTAGACTTCTGCTTGCATGCCTCTACTCAAGGGCAATGACTCTTAAGAAAAAGTTAATTAAAAAGCTCCTTTTTTCTTGCTAACCATGTTCCCCTCCATAGTCCGCCCCACAGCAGAGCGACTTGCAAGGCCATGCTGAGCACGCATTGTGTGAGCTGTGTTGCTAACTGCCCCCTCCCTTGCTCTGGTGTTATTAATCCTAGCAGGTTTAAGGTTCCTCTTTTTAAAAATTTTGGTTATATTCCACATTTTAAAAAATCAGAATAAATCAGAGATACCTTTGAGGATTTTTCCCAGCATGCAGCGCACGGCAAATGCTTACTTTGACACTCACCAATATGGGTTCCCACCCCCCCCTGTTTTTTTTTCAGCTTGTTTCTTGTTCTCTGAGTTATCACAGTTGCTTGCTGCTACATTGTTTTCTGGTTCTCTTCACTGCTTAGAAGTTGAAAACTCCAAAACGGGGACAGAGAGAAGATAGATGTCTCCATAGCTACCTTCAGAAACCATGACACTACATTCTCAACACCCTCTAAGTGACCTGCCCTGTTGTTGAGGCCTTTCAGTCTCCACCGGGCAGAGGCTGTTACTGTGGGTGTTTTAAAGATGAAGAAATTGAGGAAAGAGGTGGTCTGTGTCTGGCCAGCGCCTTGTAAAATTAACCAGGTTGACTGTGGAGCCTACAGTGCAAACATCTGTCCCTGGAGCCATGATCTCATTCCCTACCCAAACTGTATCCCACCTTAACCATGCTGGGCAGCTGGCTGTATCCCACCTTAACCATGCTAGGCAGCTGGCTGTATCTCACCTTAACCATGCTGGGCAGCTGGCTGTATCTCACCTTAACCGTGCTGGGCAGCTGGCTGTATCTCACCTTAACCGTGCTGGGCAGCTGACTGTATCCCACCTTAACCGTGCTGGGCAGCTGACTGTATCTCACCTTAACCATGCTGGGCAGCTGACTGTATCTCACCTTAACCGTGCTGGGCAGCTGGCTGTATCTCACCTTAACCATGCTGGGCAGCTGGCTGTATCCCACCTTAACCGTGCTGGGCAGCTGGCTGTATCCCACCTTAACCGTGCTGGGCAGCTGGCTGTATCTCACCTTAACCGTGCTGGGCAGCTGACTGTATCCCACCTTAACCGTGCTGGGCAGCTGACTGTATCTCACCTTAACCATGCTGGGCAGCTGACTGTATCCCACCTTAACCATGCTGGGCAGCTGACTGTATCTCACCTTAACCATGCTGGGCAGCTGACTGTATCCCACCTTAACCATGCTGGGCAGCTGACTGTATCCCACCTTAACCATGCTGGGCAGCTGACTGTATCTCACCTTAACCGTGCTGGGCAGCTGGCACGCATTTACATAGAAGATCGTTACAGCTCTGTAGTCTCTGACTACCTCATTAGCCTATGGTTAGTTACTCCTGACTTCATACTGGTCTGCATGTGTGCCTGGAAATTCACTCTATTTAACTGATTTTCCAAGTTGTTTGAGTCTTGATGAATTCAAAGCCCTCAGATTCTGGTCTGATTTTCTCTGGAGGGTTCAGTGCAGCTCCCCATCTGGGGACCACCCTGGGGGTCTTGATCCCTGTGTCCCCAGCTTTTAGGTTAGACTGAATCGTGGGGGAGGTAGCACAGACTGACCATCAGAGGCAGGAAATACTTAGGTAGCGTCTACTTTTTCAAGTTTGGAGGTTTCCTCAGTAACTTAAGTACTACAGAAATCTAGCCACTTTCTTTCAAGTCTAAGGTTATCTGTCCTGTCCTGGTAGCTACCATGGAGACTCGGGACTGGAGAGGTTTGAAGCTACAAAGACCTTTGGAACACAAAGATCACCACCAGGAAAGACACTCCCATAGCACTGATTTGATCGTGGCCAGCCCACAGCACATGAGCAGCCCACTGCACAGCCCCAAGATTTGCAGAGTGCAGGAAGGAATGGCTGTTAAGACAGGAACAGCATTGCTGATAAGAATTACTTGCTTTTTGTGTGATTTCTGAGTTTCATATCTCCTGGGTATATTGGATAGCAGTTCAACCAGAGGAGGGTACAACAGGATCCAGTACCACAGTTATCCTCATCTGAAGTGAGAATAAAAACTGCCCTCTTCTATAAATGCCCAGTGGTCTCCAGGAAAGTAAGACCATCAGTGTTCTAGACTCAGCTGATTAAAACAGCATGCAACAGAGTCTTTACTCTTTAGCTTTCCATATTTCCTGGCATCCCCCCCTGGCAACACATTCCCTACTTCTTCGATCATCTGAGGATCCATCATCGAACACATAGTCATCTCTATCCTTGTTGATGTGAAAACACAGCTCTCACCTCAAAGGGGAGAAGAGAGGGTTCATTCTGAATCCAGATATGAGTGATCATGGCCTGGGGACACAGATTTAGGTTACCCCCAAATCCCCAAATTCATTGTTCCAAAATGGAAGCCGTTTCATGAAGTTTTTATGCAAACAGAAAAAGTCTCAGATACCACCTGATGACAATCCTAGGTGTTAGGTTGGTGAAAGTGGATGGAAAGAGGAAATAAGAAGGGAGGACAGTGACTGCTCCTAGGTGTGTTGGAGGAGAAAGTTGATTGTAACTAAAAGGGGAAACAGAGCCAGAGTCAGAGACATCTGGGAGAGTCCAGAGTGGGCATGACCCTGAACCATGCGAAGAGAAGGAGGGAGGGGAAGGAAGAGGGGAGAGAGAAGAACCAGGTGCTGCAGCCAACAGGACAAAAGGTAAAAGGGTGAGTGACCAAAATGGTTGGCTGGTAGAAGGAAGAGTGGCTGGGGGAGGGGCAGCCCAGCCCCTGGGCTGGAGAGTTCAGGGCAGGAATCTGGGTAAGCCAGCCACACCCTGTAACAGGTAGGGACTGAGGGACAATGGGAGAACCTGGCAGCCAGGTCCACTTTGATTTGCTAAATGGACACCTCCAAAGCCCTGTGTCCCAGTGTCTGAGATTTAATGAAAGCCCAGGGTCTGCTGAGTTAATGCATCCCAAAGGAAAGTTAGTGCTTTGTCTGTCTGCACTCTGCCAGTGATTTCGTCTGGTGAGCAATGCACTGCTTTCAGAGGGGCTCGGTTTCCCGATCACCAACGCCCTCCCCAGCATCTTCCTGGGAGCATCTTTCTGGGTTTACACACTGGAGTTATGGACTCAGAGGGATTTAGAAACAGCTGGAAACATTTCCTAGTCCCCAGGTGGAGCCAGAAAAGAGGAGAATATGTCTGCTCTCCACCCAGTTGTCAAATTCGTCCAGAAACGTAAGCCCTGAGTGTGTTCCCGGCTGATGCACAGCTCTGCTAATCTATAAATGGGAGAGAGTTGTGGAGCCTCTGGAAGGGTGGGGCCAAGAGATCCAGGCTTGGAGGGAGGGAGGGAGGGAAAGAGACACTTTCTCCTCGTTCCATTTTAACTCTCTGGGTTTGTTTGAAGCCATTCTCTGGTCTTGAAATACAACTGCTTCTCATTTGATGAACTCCGCGTCATCGTCCATCCATGTCTGCTCCACCCCCACCCCCGCGCTGCTTTCTTGTCCATTTGGCAACAACATTTTCCTGTGTTTTTAATGGCACCAAATTTACATGGCTGTTCTCATTTAACAGGAACAACTCTAAGTTTTATATGACACACCCAACCAGAGAGTCTTTAACTATTTGCCCTGGCATTTCCCAAGATGTTAGTAGACTTCGAGACCAGGCTGTGTAATCTCTGCTGCAAAGGCCGCAGGAGCCACAGGTGACTGAAGAGGAAGGGTTAGAGAAGGCACGAGGACAGGAAAATGGGCCTCCTTCAGATTACCGGTTTTAAACTTGGTCCTCCTATTGAATTGCTCGACGTACAAATCCTGCCGGACCCTGGTTTTTGCCTTCCCCATTTGTCGTTCCTGTTGACAGCTTGGTGGAAGCATGTCTTCCCTCAGGAACACCAGCCCTTTCCTTCCCTTAGAAGAGAGATCCTCACAGTCAAAGGCCTGTGCGGGAGCTAGCCAAGCCCTGAGTTTCCGAAGGGGTGGGATCTCAAGCCTCAGTCAGAGACACTTTAGGAAACACACATCTTTATTTGTTAAACAAATACTCTCCAGTGAGACTTGGCCAAGACACCGGTGTATTTTAAATCAGTGAAGTAAACACTCTGGTTCAGAGGAAGGTCTCTGTGACCCTCAGGGTTTGGAGTTGTGGTTCCCAGTGTCTTTTTGTCTTTGGCTCCCTTGTATACTCTGCTAAAGACTGTTTCCTCCTCTAGTCATTGGGAAGTTAATAGGCCTTTTGTGATGCCATAGAGACACTGCTGCTTGTGTTGGAGGGCTGCAATTGGCCAGAGTAAAAGGCTCACGGGTTAAGGATTTACAACTAGCTGTAAAGTCTGCCTCTAGCTGCAGAGCTGGTTACTCACAGTATCAGCTTGGTAATGACTTTTACTTTTTTAAGTCTCTTAAAATAGAGCAGTTAGCAATTTAAGTTTAACTATTTGTGACTTGTTAAGTTTCAGGATACAAGAAAATAAAAGCACTTGATTTTTAAGACAAAAAATTGTGACCTTTAAAAATATGGATAAAGTTATTTTTTTTCACATCTTCAAAGGAAAATACAGCAAAATGTCTATGAAATCTATTTTTAAAGAGCTTCCCATTGGACTGCTAGGAGTCTGCCAGTGAGCTTCAAGTTCATTGTCATATGGAGATCCAGCCATTCTGGTAATGAGATCATGCATGGCTGCTTCCTGTCCCACATGGCCATAATCTCTGATTCCACATATCCGGACATTGGGAATAAATAGCCCAGGCTCAGAGCTATAGCGGAGATGCCTATGGGCACCAAGGAGCCTTCTACCAGACCTTGCTTTTGTCTGTTCTCCTGGTCACCACAGTAAGGGAGGACACTTTTATCCACTGACGTTTGTAATAACTGTCACGGTGTTTGAGGCCACACTGAGATGGTGTCACATTCTGTGCAATTGACTTAGAGGTTTGTAAATGAAACCTTCTAAGTCTTTATGCCTGGTGGAGTTACAGTTAGTCATTCTTTTTCAATCTTAGGTCTCGGTTGATGCTCGGTGGCGTGAGAGGTGCCGGTGGCATGAGAGAAGGAGATGAGGTGTCAGTCTGGAGTGGGGGGTGTCCTGATGATGTCATTAGTGGAACTGGTGATGGGTGTGGTGGAGCCGCTGACACTATCAGCAGTGAAAGGGGGGTTCCCGCGGTAGTGATGGTGACGGTGTGGGCTGTACGCTTCTGGGGTTTCCGGTGGCGATGGTGTGGGCTGTACGCTTCTGGGGGTTCCGGTGGCGATGGTGTGGGCTGTACGCTTCTGGGGGTTCCGGTGGCGATGGTGACGGTGTGGGCTGTACGCTTCTGGGGGTTCCTGCGGTAGCGATGGTGATGGTGTGGGCTATACACGCCCGCCTCCCTGAGCTGTTTTCAGAATGCTTGTGTCTACAGACAGCAGTGGTGTGGGATATCTAGCATCGTTTCTACCCGTAGCAGGCATGGCCCGCCCATGTGTGATGAAGCTGATTCGTGGGTGAGATGATACATAAGAGTTTTCAGTTCTGAGCTGGAGAACCGCTTGTCTTCTTTTGTGGCAATCAGTTCATGAGCAAGGTCCATAACGAAGCTCTGGAATTCTGTTACAGAGACAGTGGGGTCTGTGGAGGGCTCCTACCCCGCACCCTGTGCCCCGCGCCTCACGCCCCGCGCCCCGCTCCCCACTTGTCTTGGTTTCATAGATTAAGAATATGTGCCTTGACTGATAAACTAGGACTTGAAAATCTAGACTTGTAAGTCCTTTACTGTTTCCTCTATTCCAGCCACTACATAGCATGTTCAGCCCCTGTAGAACTTTGTAGACTGTTTCTTGTCTTAGATGAGAGTATGGGAAAAATTCACAAGTGAATATTCCATATTTGGTTTTCTTCTCTCAATGTGAGGGGCAGAAAATGTCTTTTCTCCTACGCGCTTCCTTATGCAGCCGTGTACTCAGATGACCCTCTAGCGTTTATATGGGAACTGTTTGGAGGCTCTTCCCGCATGTGTCCAAGGCTCGAGCTGTGGAGTGATCTTTTCCTGACCTGACTGGTCTCTGCCAAATAGGATATTGAGCAAGCCAGAAACCAGGCCTGAGCCGAAAAACCAAATAGAAATAAATATTTGCCCTCCTCCCAGTGGGAGTCCTGGGTTTTTAGGATCAAAGACCTACTTTGTGTGTGTGTCTGTTCCTAAGCCTCCCAGAAGCAGGAGACCTGTAGCATGGCACAGACTCTGGGACCCAAGCTCTTTAGCCCTCAGACAAATTCCCTAGTGGTTCTTAAAAAAAAAATCCCATGTATAAAGATAAAGATGTAAGTTGCATTCCTTAAAGTAAGAGGAGCAGAATTAGGATTGAAGAGGAAAAAAAGATATGGCAAAGAGAGCATCGGAAGCAGGAAGCAAGGGGTGGGGTGTGTGTGTGTGTGTGTGTGCACGTGTGTGAGAGTGTGTATACATGTGTGTGCATGCACGTGTGTGAGTGAGAGTGTGTGTGCATGTGTGTGTGCGCAGTGGGAATGAGTTCCAAGAGGCGAAGGCAATTGTGCGTCTCTGTTCTGCACTGCGCCTTTACTTCTTCTGGTAGTATCAGAAGCACAAAGGTCTTTATTTTTTATTGAGTCCAATCCATTTTCTTGACTTGCTTGCGTGGTGTCTGCAATTCCATGGTCTAATCTGAGAACAGAAAGGTTTTGCTCATATTTTCCTCAAAGAGTTTCACAGTTTCCGCTGAGAATTGATTCTGTGCTTGGTGTGAGGTAAGGCTCTCTGCATGGAGAACTGCTTGTCTCGGATTTTTATTCCTTAATTCCACAAATATGTATGGTGAGCACAGTCTGTGCCAGCCATTGTGAACTGCCAGAAGAATGGCCCTTGGTGCCAGAATGGCGCAGAAACTGAGGAGGAGAAAAACATTGAAAATTTTGAGGAGTAAAAATTTTTTAAAATTGGGCTTTTGAAAAGAGATTATTAAAGTGTAATGTGAAGAAACTATAAGCATATTCAAACAGCATTGGTTTGTAAAAGGCAAACAGATTAATTATATGCCCTATATAATTGTGAGTGTATATTTCTTGCACAGCTAACATTCAAATTCCTGCTTAATATATTGAAAGGTAGACCTGGTTATTTCCTTCAGATTATTACCAACTATATAAATACTATATTTGCACACCAATAATTACTCTTCTTTGAGATAATTTTGAGACCCAAAAAAGTGAGGCCATTGACCATCTAAGCATGCAGTAGACAACAGTTGACAGTTGTGGAAGCCATTCTTCTAGGAGCCTGTAGATGGGAAGTAAAAACAGTTAATTCCTGACCCGAATGCTCTTCACACAGCTGGACATGCCCATGTTGCCAGCGCCTTGGGCGTCCTCCCTACACAGCTGCTTGCAGCCGTCCCTTCTACCCATGTTCCTTGCCTCTTCAGTAAAAACACTGGCAAAATGCATGAGTGTCCCTATGGGCTTTGGGAGTGCTTGGTGATCTGGATACATACTAAAACCAAACAGTTTTGGTCTCATGTCAGCTAGTCGCCCAGGAAAGTTCTAAAAGGAAAAGCACAATGGGTCATTCACCTTGTCTCTGTGATTTTTTCTTTTATTCCTTTTTTTGATCACTAGGCCCATGTATAAAAAACTGAATTTTAACTTTGAATGTGAGTTGGGCTGCTCATGAGGATCAGAAGGTGAGTCCTGATGAGAGCCCTGTGCCCATAGGAGACAAGTTAGACCACACAAACACGAAACCCTTTTTTTCACACACAGTTATTTTTCTTTAAAGCAAATGGCTTATTTGGAAAAAAATATTTGCAATTTATCTCATAGACAAATAATGAATTTTTAAAAACAGATTGGGAAAAACAATGTTCAGGGAAACAGATGTGAGAGGCAATTCATGGGGAGAGAAATGCAAACATCTCACAGCCCTGCGAAGAGTGGCTCACCTCTGTTCTTTGCAGGGGGTAGGGTGGGGCCAGCAAATGCCGGTCCAGCTGCACAGGAGTGCTGGTGTTTACCTGCTGCTGGCAGATCCCCGGGTGGGGCAGCCCGCTCTGTGGGGGAGCTGCAGGGAGAGGCCTTCCACACTGCAGACGGTCCACACATGGAAGAACTTAAGGAATCTGGATAGAATAAGCTTTTGGCTCCAAGTCACAGGACATTTTCCAAAGGTACATCATCAGAAATGTACATGCGCACAGTCAGCTGCAAGCAATGGCACTGTCCACTGGTGAAGAGGGGTTGGTGCTGCCTTTGACGACGTCGTATTCCCTCCCAATTCGGGAAGTGAAGACACAGGATAAACACTTGGGGAGACTGTGCTCAGCATTGCTCCCTTGGCTGCTTGCAAAGGGCATAGAAACAAGTCATCAAAGCTAGAGGCCACCGGGTACCTTGGGAAGGATCTAAGTAGAGTGGAGGCCAAGGGTGGTAGGTAGCCGGGCTTCTCTTGTCCTGCCTGCCTGTGAATTTGACTTTGGAACCAAATTAATGTTGTCCACAATTATAAAGCTAGTTTTGAGAGTCCATTATCTATCTTATGTCCTTTGCCAGACATGTAACTGGCAAATATTTCCTCCCCGTCTTGGCTTTATCTTCTTAATTCTTTTGAGACAGGGTCTTGTGGGGCTAGCCTCAAAGTTGGTATATGGAGGAGGCCAGCTCTGAACGCCTGGTTTTCCTGATTCTACCTCCAGGTACTGGGATCCCAAGTGTGCACTCCCAGGCCCATCTCTTTCTGATTTTAGGGAGGAAGCATTGATTTTTTTCCTTCCCTTCACAGACCTCAATGAAGTCAAATTCCTGGTCTCGAGTGGTTCCGCCATCTCTTGGGTAGCTGGGACCTCAGATGTCTGCCACCACACCCACCAGTCAAATTTAAGGTTGATAGACAGTTTAATGTGCACACCCCTGCTGGCTAGGGAGTGTGCTACAGCCCAGATTTACCCAGCCTGTTATAGCCTGGTTCTTGTGGTTGTGAGTCAGTTTTAGAGTTCACCTATCTGTAACTGAAAGATTGTGCTGAGACATGGATGGAATTTGCAATAAGTCGTAAGATGATTCATAAGAGCTGGCAGCCCTGCTGAGGTCCTTACTTGGAGTCTAATTCCTGAAGATGCCTGTCAGCTTTGTTTTTAGTTCTTTGGTTGTTTTCACTAGTGTTTCATACATTGCAGCATGTGACGTTCTGTGTGCATTTCATTAGATTAGCCTTGGAACATTCAGTTAGTTACCATAACTAGTATTTTAAACTGGGGTTATTAATTTTCACAACTAGTTCACAGACATGGGAGTCTTTCTTTAACCTGTATTTGTTATCTTATTCCTCACTTATTAGTTTTTGGAGTCAATAGATTGGGGCAGATTTTGTTCTTAAGTATATTACTTTTATTTGTTATTACTTTATTTCTATGTGTTTAAGTGGGATGATGATAGGTGATGCCTGTATGCAGAATGTAATGACTGAATTAAGATCATTAGCAGTTGTTTGTTGCTTGTGCTATGACCATGTAAAATCCTTTAAGATATTAAGAACATACAGTCCATTATTTTCAACTGTAGTCAGCGTATAGTATAACGGAACACAATTCTCCTTCCTGTCTGTATTTTTGTACACATTAACTAACTCTTCCTCATCAGGCCAGGTGGTGGTGGCGCACACCTTTAATCCCAGCACTCGGGAGGCAGAGGCAGGTGGATCTCTGTGAGTTCGAGACCAGCCTGGTCTACATAGCGAGTTCCAGGACAGCCTCCAAAGCAATACAGAGAAACCCTGTCTCAAAAAAAAAAAAAAAAAAAAAAAGCAAAACAAAACACAAAACCTCTTTCCCCTATGCTTTCAAGTTCCTGATAACCCTATGCTCCCCTCTAATTATGTGAGGTCAGTGGTTAGTGTCTAAATCTGAATGAAGGTAAACAGGATTCACTTTCCTGTTTCCTAGTGGAGTGCTCTCCTGTCCCATTCGCGGTGCCACAAGTGACGGACATTTATTCTTCTTGTAAGTAGTACCTCCTTGCATGTATCCATCCATTTGGCTGTTGGAAATGGTGCTGTCATAGACAGGATCTCGGCTTCCTTTACTGGCTGATTGCTTGGTTTCACACCTAGCGGCACTGTCAGATCTCATGAGGCTTTTCCGTGTGACTTGTGGTTTTTTTTTTCCATCTTACTGCAGTGTGGGATGTGGGCTGTGAATGGCACTCCATGCCTCTGACTCTAAGGCAGAAGTGGCATCTGGAAGTGACAGGTTTTGTAAAGAAAGGCTGTTTCCAGAGTCTGAAAGAGCAGCAGGAGGCACAGGGCCCTCGTTGTCACACTACAGGCACGGTGAGCGGTCGCTGGTACATACAGCCTGCCATCCGCCTTGCTGTCCTCTCCCTGCTCCGTCTTTGTTAGCAGTACTAACTCCATGTCAGCCTGAACTCTCTAACCTCCCACCTGCTACCCCCACCAGCCACCCCCTACACATGCCTGCTTCTCATCTGGGCCATCTCTGAAATGAGTTCCCTCCCCTCTCCTCCGAGCTGCAGCTACTTCCTGGTCAGAGAACCTGTCATCTCTCATCTCTGCCTTCCGTGTGTGTGTGTGTGTGTGTGTGTGTGTGTGTGT